AAACAAACAAAGAACCTGTTAGCCTTTCAGGGGGGAATAATTGCTCCAAGGGCTGTGGATATTGCCTCTTGACTTGACAAACCACAATATTTACACTAATATCTGGCTCATTATAGAAAAAAAGTTTGCCAACCCCTGAATTTATCTTTTCTAGAATAATTTCTTTTAAGTTTTTGGCCTCATTTGTGTGACTGATGGCCTCACTTTTATCGTAATAGTCTTTCAGTAGCTAACCCTTATGGGTTGTGTAGTGTTGCAGGCATACCGAGTTCTTTAATCCGTTCAAAACCATTGGAGTTAGGTGCTCTTTTTATCCTCATTGTTCAGATGAGAAAATTGAGTTGTAGATCGGTTATTTAAAGGCCACAGGTAAGGTTTTGGACCCAAAGTGGCACTAAGCTGTTTAATCTCCACCCTCTTTGGGATGTTTAAGAATTAGAAAAGTGGTCTGCTGCATTCTGAAATTTTGTAGCTTTCCTTCTAAATATGTACATGCATATTTTCTTAATAGTCAACATTTCTTTTTTAGTGCCCACTTTGTGCAACACATTTTGTAGACTAGCACTGTGGGGCATCCAAATATGAGACATGGGTTGATGCCCTCTAGTTTTCTCTTGGACGGTGGAGACAAACCTGTGCCAGTGAGCTAATGCCACGGAGTAATGGGTATGGACTGTTATCCTGGTTAACCTCCAGTGTCTAAATGGAAACATTGGTATTAGTGCAAGAACCCTTCTCCAAGCAGGAAAAGTGAGAAGGAAGTCAGTCCTAAAGGGTTGTGTGTGTGTGTGTGTGTGTGTGTGTGTGTGTAGTAAGGTTAAGTAAGAAAGTTGAAATTCACCTGTTGTTTATTTTTATTTTTTTACTGTGGCAAGTCATTACTTAAATGTTTCAATAACATTGATACTTTTTGCCACAAACATTTAAGCTGTACAAACATTTGAAGGAACTGCCTGGGAGGTTTGTCGTCTACATACCCTTTTCTCTCCTCTTCCTTCTTCCCTATTTCTATCTCTCCCTCTATCCTTCTCTCTCTCTCTCTCTCTCTCTCTCTCTCTCTCTCTCTCTCTCTCTCTGTATATCTTTATCTATATCTAAGTTAGGAACTTAGCAGAGTATGTGCTTCATCTCGATCTTTTGACTGGTGACTAAGGAGTTTTGATTTGCTTAACAAATTATATCACCAATGCAGAGTTCTATGGATCTAGTTAAAAGATTGGTGAGTTTTAGGCCTGTGTTTTATAAACATGTAAGTTGCAGACCCTTTCACCATTTGTAGCTTGATCTTTTGTGTTCTAGGTTTGTTATTGTGATATGAGCCTATTTGGCTTCTGTTTTTGAAAATGGTAAGGAGTAGAAAGTCAATTATCTGGTCTGGATTTTGCTTTTCTTTTTGAAAGCAAAATCCAGTGATGGGATTCTATTGTCAAATTTGGCAGGCATTAGAAGTGCCTATGAACAATATCCTAAATGCATTGAAGGGAAAATTTGAAGAACTAACAAATCATCTGTGGTTTTTAAGATTTGGGAGCTGACAGACACATGTATTTCTTCTCTGTAGTGGTTAACACTCAATATGAGGGTTGCTTTTTCAAACAATAGCAATTCCAGTAAGGTGGGGTTTATTTTTTCCTTTTTTTTTGGTAGTATGAGAGAGCAAAGACTTAGTTTTAAGTGGAAAAACTCAGGAAGTTAATTGTAAATTCGCATCTATCTGAAATGATCTATAATAATAAGAGTGTAATATATTAATTAGACCAGGCAGCCAAACGACCTTCCAGATGTCATTCCAAAGGTCCTTCTGGACGAAGCCATGGCAGAGGCGGTGAGGGGTGATCAGGAAGGTAGGCAAGTAGTTAGGGGCAATCAGGCAGACAGGCAGAGGAGGTTAGGGGTGCTCAGGCAGGCAGGCGAGTAGTTAGGGGTGATAAGCAGGCACACAGAGGGTTTAGGGGCGATCACACAGGCAGGCCAGTGGTTAGGGACAATCAGGCAGGCAGGCAGAGGTGGTTAGCAGCCATCAGGCAGGCGGGCGAGTGGTTTGGGGTGATCATGCAGGCAGGTGAGTGGTTAGGGACAATCAGGCAGGCAGGCAGAGGGGTTAGGGGCTATCAGGCAGGCAGGCAGAGGTGGTTAGCGGCCATCAGGCAGGCAGGCAGAGGTGGTTAGTGGCCATCAGGCAGGCAGGCGAGTGGTTAGGGATGATCAGGCAGTCAGGCAGAGGGGTTAGGGGCGACTAGGCAGGCGTGTAGAGGTGGTTAGGGGCAATCAGGCAGGCAGGTGAGTGGTTAGGGGTGATCAGGCAGGCATGTGAGCATTTAGGAGCCAGGCGAGGAATTAGGAACCAGCGGTCCCAGATTTCGAGAGGGATGTCTGATTGCCTCTAAGGATCGGACCTAAACCTGTAGTCAGACATCCCCCAAGGGGTCCTGGATTGCAAGAGGGTGCAGGCCTGGCTGAGGGCTCCCCTTCCCCCCCCTCCCCCCCCCACACACACTAACTAGACTTGTGGGATAATCATTACAACAACGATTTATTAGTTTCCTTTCTCTTTTTGTAAAGGCGTTATTTTGTAAAGCAGTTTTAGGCAGAATTGAGTTGAAAGTACAGAGTCCTATCTACCTCTGCCCCCCACCCCCATCTGCAGCCTCCCCCACTATCAACATCCTGTACGACAGTGGTATGTTCTATAAACTTATATTGACATGTCCTTATCGGCCAAAGTCCATAGTTTACAGTGGGGTTCAGGTTTTGTGTACATTCTATGGGTTTTGACAAATGTGTAATGACATGTATCCACCATTGTAGTACCACACAGAATAGTTTTACTGTCTGGAAAATTCTCTGTGCTCTGTCTATTCATCCTTCCTTTCCCTCCCAGCCCCTGGCAACTAATGAACTGTTCACTGTCTCTATAGTTGTACCTTTTGCAGAATATCCTAACATTGGAATCATGCAGTATGCATATGTAGACTTTTGAGATTGGCTTCTTTTACTTAGTAATATGTACTTAAGGTTCCATAGCTTTTCATGGCTTTTTAATGATGAGTAATATTCCATTGTCTGGATGTTCTATAGTTTATCCATTTACCTACTGAAGGACATCTTGGTTACTTCCAAATTTGACAGTTATGACTAAGGCTGTTTTAAACATCTATGCACAGGATTGTATGGTAAGAATGTATTTAGTTTTGTAAGAAACTGCCAATTGTCTTCTAAATTGGCTATACTATTTGCATTTCTACCAGCAATGAATGAGAGTTCCATCCCAAATCTTCATCAAAGTTTGGTATTGTCAGTGTTTTGGCTTTGGGCCTTCTGGTAGGAGTGTAGTGAATTACTTTTCTTATGTATATAAAAATTATCATCTGCCTATTTTTTCATATGCCTTCATATTTCTGTACGAACTCCTTTCTCTGGTAACTTGATTCTGTAGGTGGTTTCTGGATATCTATGTGTTTTTTAAGCTTTGAAGATGATTCTGTTATGAAACCAGAGTTCAACACCACTTCTAGACACACTATGAAGGATGCTTGGCACAGAATAGGTCTTTAAGAAAGGTCTGCTGAACTGGACTAAATAAGTAACAATTAAGAAACTTTAATTTACTAAAGTCTCAAATGAGGATTTAAATGCAGTTTTGTCCTCCTACGCTTTTCTTATGCATTTACTCACCATGTTGTCTCTGTCATAATATATTGATGATGAAGATGATGTTCTCACACTTGTATAGCATTCACTCTGCAAGCTGCATTGCAAGCCAAACAGGTTAGGTGAGTTGAAATTTCAACAGCAGCAAGTCAGCACAGGTCCATCACATTGGCTAACAATTCAGCAACCTTGAATTAGGAGATCAGAAAGTATTGGATTTTACTTTTAAAAATCTTCATGATCCACATTTCATCAGTATTATGGATTAAATAGGTATTTGTGAGATAGCCTGATAACCTTACCATTTACCCTGTTATTCTTATGGAAAAGTATATTCACAAATTTCAAAAAACTACTTCACCTCCAGTAAACGAATAACCTTTGTAAGCTTATTTGTAAATTGGAGTCTGCCTAGAGAG